TGATACGTGTGCTCGGTGATCGGTTCCCGCACGGTGTCAAAATTTCAATCCTTACAACGCTTTCTCTACTTCTTGATAAGGCAATTTTTCAGTCATCTTTTTTTTTGCTCGTTTCTTTAAGGATTAAACGGTTAAAAAATGAATTAGAGAGATGTTTGAGACGTCAGGAACTACTATGAAATCTGATATTTGCATTATCATTCGGGGAAAAGGGATGGGGATGAAATTAAGGGTGGAATTTACAACTTGTTGATTAACTTTTAACTTAAATTGTAAAAATAAAGGATTTGATGTACTGATTTTTAAATTCGTTTTGGGTATCCTTATTTCATGTGAATTTTCAGGTCGATGCGCAGCTCCGACCGTTTTTGCCGCAACTTCAAAGCACCTTTCTGAAAGCACTGCAAGACACGGGCTCACGTAAGATACGTTTGTGTGCAGGCGGTGCCCTTGCACGTCTCATCCCGATCCACACAAGGACGGATGTTGTGGCGCTGGAACTGATCAAATTTCTGAATGCTTCAACGGATAATGCTGTAATGTAAGGAGTATTTTTACTCTGTGAAGTTTTTTTGAATAACTTTTCAAAAAAATTTTACTACTTAGTTAGACCAACTACGTTTATTGTGTGTTTCTTTGGCTGTACAGGCTACCAACTTTTCCAGTTGTTTTGACCATTGCTGCAAAAAAAGAGTTTTACCTATTTAAATTAAAGATTTTGTGCTGGCTTCCATGAAATGGCTCTTCGATTTTTCCTGAAGGAAGATTTTTCGGAATGCAGCCGTTCCAGGGTTTCATTTTTCGGATATGCTCGAAGGGTTAGGATTCAGTGTTTTCCGTATTTTGCCTTTTATTTTAAGGTTATATTTGTGTTTTTTTTAGTGAAACAACTTTGATTGCGATGCGCGCGATTGTGATTCGGGCCCAGTCGAAGATTAGCGCTAACGTCCTTGACGAGGCCGTTCAAGTAGCCGTAACGCACCAGCAAAACGAAACTGCTCCGGAAGTAGCACAGGCGGCTTCGGCGCTCCGCGGTGAACTGGCACTGCAAATGAACCAGTTGTCGGATGATTTTATTCTGAGTATGATTTTTCCGTTGATTTTTACGATGGTAGGTTACGTGTCCTGCTAGCAAAGTGTCGAAGATTTCTGCATATAATTACCTATATTTTTATCCCGATATGCCTCTTATTCTTGTGGACTGCTAGGGGAAGCTTGAACGGTTGAAAAGCTTGAGTGGATAGGTGAAGAGAATGCAATACGTCCGACATTTCTTTCCTTGGCAACAGAACAACCCAACAAAAGGATGTAGAGGAACGGGGATTAGAATGTGATAGTTACATTGGGTGAAATCATATCGTAACTCCTTTGGAAATCATAATTATTCTGATTGCAGTCATTCACATAATTAAGTCAGCTAAGTTTTAACGTCTTTCTAATTAACGAAATTAAGCTAGTTGAAGTAACAGACAGGATTTAACGAAACAAACTGGTATCTTGATTTCACTTGCAGATACACTTGCAATCCTTCTCCTTCC